TTCCCATCTTAGGCCTCTGACAGAAGCCAGCCAAGTTCCTCAGACGTCTGCCACAGGCCAGCCAAGTTCCTCAGACGTCTGCCACAGGCCAGCCAAGTTCCTCAGACGTCTGCCACAGACCAGCCAAGTTCCTCAGACGTCTGCCAGAGGCCAGCCAAGTTCCCCAGACGTCTGCCACAGGCCAGCCAAGTTCCTCAGACGTCTGCCACAGACCAGCCAAGTTCCTCAGACGTCTGCCAGAGGCCAGCCAAGTTCCCCAGACGTCTGCCACAGGCCAGCCAAGTTCCTCAGACGTCTGCCACAGACCAGCCAAGTTCCTCAGACGTCTGCCAGAGGCCAGCCAAGTTCCCCAGACGTCTGCCACAGGCCAGCCAAGTTCCTCAGATGTCTGCCACAGACCAGTTTAGGTTCCTTGGGCCCAGGTTGGGGTCCTCCAAGAGAACAAACGCGTTCTTCACTCGGCCTTACACCCCCCACAAAGCCTACGAGTCAAAGACCTCTTAGAGACGTCCTCACCAGACACAGGTCAGGGGGCCCGGGCTCTTCTACAAGGCTGCTCCCAATATTTATCCCCCTTCCCTCCACTCACCGGACCAAAGAGATTGGCCACGGCAGACGCATATTCATCACTCAACACACGGGAATTTATCAGGACTGGAGCAGCCAACCAATCGGCATCCACCTTTCATTTTCAAATCTTAACTGAACAAACTGAAGAGAGGAGCTGATTGGTCGCCGCGCACGGCTGCTCCAGTCTCGATAAATTCCCCCCGTTGTATCTTCTAAGTACCGGAGACAACTCGATGGCAGCCGGCAGAAACAATCCAAACGCTGAGCTTCGTAGAATCCTAGAGCAGGGGTGGCCGAACTCCGCCCCTCCGCCTGTGGTGGAACTACAAATCCCATGAGGCATTGCAACATTCTCACAGCCACAGACATGACTCCTGGAGAGAGATGCATCATGGGATTTGTAGTTTCACCCCAGCTGGAGGACCGGCATTTGGCTGCCCCTGTCTTAGTGAGCAAAGCTTCGGGGGAGGGGGGAGGGGGTATTCACAGCCCAGTCATTGTAGTCGGGGACACTCCAGCCTCAGGCGGGATCCCTACAGGTGGTCTGACAACTCCGAGTAGAAGTTCAGCTACGTGGACAGGAATTCCCGGACTCATCTAATGGTTGTCAACAGGAAGTGACATCACCGAGTGACACGAGTTCCCCAGTGATGCTCAGATGGTCATTTCACCTACAGAAGAGATTTTGGGGTGACAACTTGTTATCTAGTGTAGCAGATTGTTGGTCACGTGATGAGGTGAGAGCTCTGCGGAGACTTGGCGCGGCTCTTTCTAGAGTTCCTCTTTATAATCATGGACAGGCTGCCCTGTTAGGCAGAGCCGTGTATGACACAGATACACGTATGACACAGAGACACGTATGACGCAGAGAAACGAATGACGCAGAGCCGCGTATGACCCAGAAACATGTATGACGCAGAGACACATATGACACAGAGACATGTATGACAGGGATATGTATGACGCAGAGCCGCGTATGACCCAGAAACATGTATGACGCAGAGACACATATGACACAGAGACATGTATGACAGGGATATGTATGACGCAGAGCCGCATATGATGCAGATACATGTATGACACAGAGACACGTATGACACAGAGACACCCATGACGCAGAGACACGTATGACACAGAGACACGGATGACCCAGAGACACGGATGCCCCAGAGACACGTATGACCCAGAGACACGTATGACCCAGAGACACGTATGACCCAGAGACACGTATGCTCCAGAGACATGTATGACCCAGAGACGCGTATGACCCAGAGACACCAATGACACAGAGGCACCAATGACGCAGAGACATGTATGACGCAGATACACGTATGACCCAGAGACACCAATGACGCAGAGACATGTATGACGCAGATACACGTATGACCCAGATACACGTATGACGCAGAGACATGTATGACGCAGAGACACCTATGACACAGATGCACCTATGACACAGAGACACGTATGACACAGAGACACGGATGCCCCAGAGACACGTATGACCCAGAGACACGTATGACCCAGAGACACGTATGACCCAGAGACACGTATGCTCCAGAGACATGTATGACCCAGAGACGCGTATGACCCAGAGACACCAATGACACAGAGGCACCAATGACGCAGAGACATGTATGACGCAGATACACGTATGACCCAGAGACACCAATGACGCAGAGACATGTATGACGCAGATACACGTATGACCCAGATACACGTATGACGCAGAGACATGTATGACGCAGAGACACCTATGACACAGAGGCACCAATGACGCAGAGACATGTATGACCCAGAGGCACCAATGACGCAGAGACACGTATGACACAGCCGCGTACAAGGAGGTGTGTTGAGGGTCAGACGCAGAATTTAGCAGCCGTCACATTTCCTGCTCATGTATTTAGATGTGAAATGCAGAGGCTGGAAAATGTGAAACGCGTCGGAGGAAATCGCTGTCCTGAGAGATGGAAAATATATAAACGTGTTTTATGACTTGTATTGGCTGATTACAGAACGTCCGTCTCCGGAACGCGGCGCGGGGAGCAGCAGAGGGAGGACGCAGGACATTTCTTACAATAAAATTAGACTTTTATAGCCGATCGGCGTGTTTATTTCACATTAAAGTCTCTGCCCCCCCCCCCCGA